AAATGCTGTGAATTTTTTTTACAAAAAAATATGTTGATGAACTTATATCTTATGATTACATGACAATCATAAATGATATTTTTGATTCATCGTAGGTAGGAGATCAATTTAAGGCGTACCGTCCAGATACATTGATTTCTCGCTTCTTCCATACTTATTGTGCGCTTCACATGTATATTTCCCATAATCCTCCTCACCAACATTTAAAATCATCAGTGATAGAGTGACTCTGTCAAATTATACAATTATTACACACTATTACGAGAAAAATCCAATTCTCCAAGTATAGAGCATAAATATTTCAGTAAAATATTATATTTCAGTAATATTTTATATTCAATGATAAAAAACAAATTTCAATATTATTACGCTATCCGGACCGCTATGAAATACGTCCGGTCTATGGTATACTCGGGCTAAGTGCGATTTACATAATTGAACGAATTAATTATGCTAATTAATTACGACAATCAGTAAATCGTACATTGTTTCATTCTCTCAATATGGCGTAACTTTACTTGATAAAGAATAATCAAAGAAAAATAACATGTCAAGGATATTTGAAAATATGAATTATGATCTATTATAAATTTTGAAATATTTTAGGACTTATTATCGGGAAAAAATAATTAACAAAGGCGTAAACAATTCATAGTTATGTGGGCTGTTCGAAAGTTGGTGACGCAAATTAACTGTAGAGTTAACACTAAATTGAGAGAATAATCTTGTTTAGTATCTTCAGGAATTGGGTCTAGTTTACGTTCATTCTGGTGAAGTCATTCAGTTTGTTAACACCATTAGGGCGGAATGACTTTAATCTGTGCATCCAGAACTTTTCTTTGCTTTTTCTCTGAGCGTCTGTCCATCTTGGGTTATGGTCAATCACCACTACTGTCATGTCCTCCCATTTGTGACCCTCAAGGTTGAAATGTTCCCTAACGGGTTCATTGAGTTTTTTGGTTCTAATGGTCGAGCGGTGGTTATTAACTCTCCTGCGGAGATCTCCTGTTTCGCCAATATACTGTTTGGAGCAAACTTTGCAACTGATGAGATAAATGCAGTTGTCACTATGACAGGACAAATTCCCTAGTATTCTGTAGCTGCGGCCTGTAACAGGGCTGTTAAAACTGTCTGTGTCAGTGCTGTGCTTACAAAGAAGACATCTTCTGTCAGAGCAAGTTTTAAAGCCCCCGTTAGGTAATGGGTTGTCCAGTCTGGTTCTTACTACCATGTCCTTTAGGTTCCTTGGGCGTCTGTATGCAGCCAATGGGGGTTCCTTAAATACCTCTGCCATTCGTTTGTTTGAATGGAGAATTTGTAGGTTCTTTTGAAGGATACCGCTAAGGTTCTTAAGGACGGGATGGTATGTGGTTACCAGAGGGACCCTGTCGCTATTGTCTTTCTCCTTGTAGCGTAATAGGTTTTGCCAGTCATGTCCCGCCATCTCATCAATAGCTGTTTGTACGGTGCGGGCATTGTAGCCTCTTTTGCATAAATGGGACTTAAGAAGACCACTTTGCTCCTGATATAAGGCAGGGGACGAACAGATGCGTCGAATTCTGGTGGTTAGACCCTTAGGCACTCCCTTAAAAGTGTGTGGGGGATGACAGCTAGTGGGCATAAGATATAGGTGGGATCTGTGGGTTTGGTGTGGAGACTGAATTCGATTTCACCTTCAGTCAGGGTAGATGTAGTATCTAGGAATACGTTTTTCGAATTAGATATGTCTACTGTAAATTTGATCGACTGATGAAAGGTGTTGGCAAACGTAATGAATGCCTCGAGGCTCTCGCGACATTCGGCCCACTTCATCTCTATATCGTCAATGAATCGCAACCAGCTATGGGGCCTAAATGGTGCTTGAAGTAACAAGTTGCGTTCCAGTCTGCCCATGAAGACATTAGCATAAGACGGTGCCATTTTCGTACCCATAGCAGTGCCATTAACCTGCAGGTAATGTTCTCCATTTAACATGAAGTTGTTGAACTTGAGAACATGTTCAAGGAGCTTAGCAAGGGACTCGGTAGAAGGGATTGGTATGGATCTACTATCCCAGACTTCTCTACAGGCTTCGATACCCTCATCGTGCGGAATATTGGTGTACAAAGATGTGATGTCCATAGTCACGAGAAGGGTATGATCTGGGAGGCCAGTAGAAGGCGTCTTGTTAATGTAGTCCGTGGTGTCCTTGAGATAGGATGGCAAAGTCTCTACGTGTGGACGGAGATGTAAATCAATGGACGTCAGATCTTTGTGAGAAAGACAATAGCGGCAGGGTCCCTCTGGTAACCACATACCATCCCGTCCTTAAGAACCTTAGCGGTATCCTTCAAAAGAACCTACAAATTCTCCATTCAAACAAACGAATGGCAGAGGTCTTTAAGGAACCCCCATTGGCTGCATACAGACGCCCAAGGAACCTAAAGGACATGGTAGTAAGAACCAGACTGGACAACCCATTACCTAACGGGGGCTTTAAAACTTGCTCTGACAGAAGATGTCTTCTTTGTAAGCACAGCACTGACACAGACAGTTTTAACAGCCCTGTTACAGGCCGCAGCTACAGAATACTAGGGAATTTGTCCTGTCATAGTGACAACTGCATTTATCTCATCAGTTGCAAAGTTTGCTCCAAACAGTATATTGGCGAAACAGGAGATCTCCGCAGGAGAGTTAATAACCACCGCTCGACCATTAGAACCAAAAAACTCAATGAACCCGTTAGGGAACATTTCAACCTTGAGGGTCACAAATGGGAGGACATGACAGTAGTGGTGATTGACCATAACCCAAGATGGACAGACGCTCAGAGAAAAAGCAAAGAAAAGTACTGGATGCACAGATTGAAGTCATTCCGCCCTAATGGTATTAACAAACTGAATGACTTCACCAGAATGAACGTAAACTAGACCCAATTCCTGAAGATACTAAACAAGATTATTCTCTCAATTTAGTGTTAACTCTACAGTTAATTTGTGTCACCAACTCTCGAACAGCCCACATAGCTATGAATTGTTTACGCCTGTGTTAATTATTTTTTTCCGATATTAAGTCCTAAAATATTTCAAAATTTATAATAGATCATAATTCATATTTTAAAATATCCCTGCTATGTTATTTTTCTTTCATTATTCTTTATCAAGTATAGTTACGCCATATTGTCGTAATTAATTAGCATAATTAATTCGTTCAATTATATAAATCGCACTTCACCCGAGTATACTCGATAGACCGAACGTATTTCATAGCGGTCCGGATTTCTTTCTTTAATAGCTAGTGTTCTTAAAAATTTCAAATTTAACATGTAACTATGTAAATATATAGTGTTTAGTAGTAATGCTAGTGGTTTTTGTTTCTCTTTTTCCTTTGTTCTTATGACTTTTTAACTTTTTTCTTTGTCATGAGGAAGGAGCAGGGCGTCCCGAAAATTTGACAATTTCTATTGTTCGTGTCGTTGGTCATTTTCAGTGCTTTATATATATATATATATATATATATATATATATATATATATATATATATATATATATATATATATATATATATATATATATATATATAAACAATGTCGATAGCAGTTAAGTGCTGTACCTCATCTTGTCATCCCTGTACATATCTGTGTGGTAGTTCCGTCCACTCTGCTGGTCAAATTCGCGATCTCCAAATTTCCAGACATTGACGCCCAAGGGCGATGCAGACACGTAACACTGTAGTACTGTCTCCATTCCTACTCTCTCGGCCTTTCTGTAATGACTAAGGCTTACTTCCGGTGGAACTGTAACAAGAAAGGCCTGTACATTTTAGTGAAAGATTAAAATGTCATATACTACGGAACCCTGACATTAAATTTGAATAAAAAAATCCTTGATATACAATTATTACTGTACAGTTTTATTTCAATTTTTTTTTATTTTGGTTCTTTAGACTTGTATGGCAAGTCTATTTGTATTGTATAATTCTTTATGTGCATTTTAAATTTATCATTTGAATTGTATGATTTTCATTTGTATTCTATAATTCTTCATGTGCATTGTAAATTTTTCCATTTGTATTATATGATTTTTATTTGAATTCTATAATTTTCCAAAAACCCTTAGTAAAACCTTCATACAATTCTACTGCTACTTTCTTTTTTGAATTGTTTTCTAGCTCTCAACATTTCTGTTTATTCAGTCTATAAATTTTTGTCCCCCGCTTGAAAAGTGGGGGATATTAATTTGGGTTTGTCCGTCCGTCCGTAAAATTGTCCGTCCGTCGTCTGTCCGTCCATCCGTCCGTCCGTCTTTCTGTCTGTCTGTAACGATTTCGTTTCCAAACGATATCTCGAGAACCCTTTGAGCTTTTGCAATGAAATTTAGCATAGCAACTCCCTATGGACTAAAGAAGACCCCTATTGATTTTGAGGTCAAAAGGTCAAAGGTCAAGGTCATAAATAAGCAAATTCTGTCTGTTAAAACACTTTCGTTTCCACACGATATCTCTAGAACCATTTAAGCTATTGCAATGAAATTTTATATAACAACTCCCTGTGGCCTAATAAAGACCCCTATTGATTTTGAGGTCAAAAGGTCAAAGTTCAAGGTCGTAAATTTATACATTCTGTCTGTGTGTAATACTATTATTTCCGGGCGATATTTCAAGAAGATTTTGAGCTTATGCGATGTAATTTATATCAAAACTCCCTGGGACGTCTATCGCCCCTCTCAAAGTGCCCCGCCCCGTTTGTTTTATTACTATTTATAGTATTTATTACGTGTCGCTATTTTTAGCGCAGGGGCATGAGGAGAGTTACTGCGTATAAAACAGGTTCTCGGCGGACTTTATGTTCTTATTACATCTACTAGAACTGTTTAATAAACGCTAAATAAATCAAACACCATGGATTGTGTAAAATTTTGAGAATACCGAACATGAAAACATCAATATATACATGTATGTGACTCCACTTCCGCATATACTTCACACCAGGTAAAGCGATTCCGTGGTCCAGTGGTTATGTCTCTCGCTTCAAATGTGAGAGGTCCAGGGATCGAATCTCCGTCGAACCCTTCTTTTTTTTTTCTTTTTTTTCCTCTTTTTTCTAATACTTTTTTTTTTTACTAAATGATAGTATTCAGCATGTGAAATGAAAAATTTATGAGGTTATAAAATCATCATTACAGTGTTATAAAAATTCCATATAAAATATCTTCTATGCACATAATGAAGAATAAGCATCTTTATATGCATATTGACATACATATATTTTATTTGCTTCAGTATGCATGTATACATTTAATAATTCTACAAATTCAGTCAGGGGGAGCCGACTTTTTCCCTAAGCGGGGGACACGAATTCTCTGAATTAGCTTGTTTTGTTTAGCCTGTTACTTGTATATTCTTCGTCTTAAAATTTCCACTATATCTGGAGGGCTGGGTGTTAACAGAAAGAAAGAACCTTAGTCTGATAACGCGTTACATATGATGCTACTTTTCTCACTAGGGGCTCGATATACCACTACTCTGCAGCTATGCAAGTTGTCGTCATTCCCCCTATAACAATCACTGTTGTCTTTCTTCAATAAACTCATATATTTTTAAATTAATAGATGCTGTCATTATATTGTATGATTTTTTCATTTGTATAGTATATTATTTTAATTTGTATTCTACTGATTATTTCATTTGTATTCTATAATTTTCCATTTGTATTGACGTTTAGTTTTTATTTGTATTCTACGGTATTATTTTTTATTTGTATTAAATTTTTCTAATTTGTATTGTAAAATTTGTATTCGATAAATTTTCATTTGTATTGTATCCGAGGATTGTTTATTGTTTTCGTAACTCGGTGCTATTTACACAATAGAAATAAAAAAAATATTTACCATGCAAATGGAAAATATAGAATACAAAAGAAATTATACAAATTGATACAAAAGATTTTTTACCTTACAAATGGAAATATAGAATACAAATACATTTTATAACATCCAAATGGGAAATTATACAATGCAAATGGAAAATTACACAATCCAAATAGAAAATTATACAATACAAATGTATATTATAGAATAAAAATTATACAATAAAAATTGAAATTATAGAATACAAATAAAAATTAGACGATGCAAAAGGAAAAGTATACAATACAAATGGAAAAAATCGAAATTGCAGCGTTTGGCAAATTGGCACTCAGTATTGTAATACATGTTGAATACAAGATTTGTAACCTTTCCTCCTGTTTATGTGCAAGATATGTCGAAATGAAATTTAATATATGGAGAAAAGAAAAATGCTGTATTGCAGATTTTGAAAAAGGTCTAAAATGAAACAAGAGGCCCACGAGCCTTATAGGTCACCTGAGTATTGTGTAACAACTTTCAAACAATTAAATTTGGTTCGTGTTTTAAACCAGAGGCCATGAAATTCACAATTCACATTTTGAAAGAGGCAACATTGCTTATCATAATTAAAAATACTCTACTTACTAAATACCCAGAGGTAAATCAGAGTTACAAAGAGAAAATGTTCTTCCACTTTATAACCAGTTGTGCACCTCACCCCAAAAGAACCACTGACCCTGGGGCCACATATTTCGAAATTTTGCAAATTTTATAATAAAATGGTTGATTAATACCAAAGAGCAGGTTTCAAAGCATTAATTTATTTTCAGACTATGTAACCACCCCCCCCCCCCCAGGGCATAAAAATAACCATTTTGCTAGATGCACCTTTCTTCATCATAAATATATATACTTGGATCATTGGCATGAAATTTACAATTCTGGAAAAGGCACTGTTGTTCATCATAACTATGTGCTTAGTTAGTTTATTTAATACCCAGAAGCAGAGAAGAAGATTTTCAAAGAATAAATGCATTTTCACTATATAATCTTTTGAGCCCCGCCCTAACACCAGAACCCCTGAACTTCGGGTCATAAAATGCACAAATCTGGAAGAGGCACTCTTGCTCATCATAACTATGCACTTAGTTAGTTTATTTAATACCCAGAAGCAGAGAAGAGGATTTTCAAAGAATAAATGTATTTTTACTATATAATCTATAGAGCCCCGCCTAACACCAGAACCCCTGACCCTGGGGGCATAAAATTCACAAATCTGGAAGAGCCACTCTTGCTCATCATAACTATGTACTTAGATAGTTTATTTAATACCCAGGAGCAGAGAAGAAGATTTTCAAAGAAATAATGCATTTTCACTATATAATCTATATAGCCCCGCCCTAGCACTAGAACCCCTGACCCTGGGGCCATGAATTTCACAATTTTGTTAGAAGACTCAATGCTCGTTACATTAATGCTAACAGTTTGCCTGCTTGATGTCCAGGAGTAAAGAAGAAGATTTTTAAAGATTGCAATAATTTTAGTGGTTTTGGCCCCATCCCTCAGTTACTCAGGTGACCTAAAAAATATATATTTTAGAGTTATAATCGATTTTATTTATGAGTAAACTTTTTTTTAATA